GGAAAGAGGGGAAAAAATAAATCAGAACTGTATTCAACTTAAAAAATAAGTCAGAATAAAGACAAAGTCTGTGTATTTAACTTTTTTTGTTTGCATACCTTTTGGTTTTCAGCTGTGAACTCAAATGGTGTATCTGGATTATTTTCAGGACTATCTCTGTGCTTCAGGAAAAGAAAAAGAAAACATGTAAAAACAGGGTTGTCAGGAAATTATTCAGGACAGATTTACTGTTGTAAAATATCTTTTCATTAGACAGTTATAGTTGAGTTGCTTGAATAAAATGGATATATTCCAGATAAAAAATTCATAGTAATAATAAATGATTAAATATCTCTGGGAAAGTTATAAAAAATATTGATAGTTATTTCATCACTCTTAAAAACAATGATTTATTCCTGTTATTTCCCATTCAGAAAATTATTACTTGAGGAATATGGTGGTGTTATCAAAACAGTGATGATAACAACAGTGTTGTTATCAACACTGCTAATACAGTTTGGCAAATAGGTTCAAACTCATCACAGATAGTCCTCTGGTTAATACCTTAATAAATAACAAGGGACTTAAAAGACAGCCCATTTTTTCTTTTCCCATGAGATATTAACTATAAAAACTTTAAAGTTCATCAAGAAGCTTGCTATATAACTAAAATGTTTGAACAAACACAATTAACCCATTTTAACATTCTTTTGTAGTGGAAGTCAACATTTTAATTTTAGATACAATTCTCAATCAGAATGGAAGAAGCAGAATTTTGTATTAATATTTCAAAGACAAGATATTCTATCATATTATTTTTAAGGTGGCCTTCTAGGGAAACTTCGAATTGAAATTAGTTCTTCTATTTTCCAAATTTGCATTTTCTGAAGTCTTGAAGAAAGTGAGACTTTCCTATAATAAAATCTTAGTTCTGACAAAAAGGCTTATCACCAGAAAAACTTCCTGCACAAAATTTTCCGTTATCTCTAAGCAGGTCATTATGGTGTCCTTGAAATACTCATAGCTAAATTCCATTCTAAACTTTATACAGTTATCAATTTGAGAAAGTTTCGGAGAAAATGCAATCTATACTTGATGTTAGAAGTAATCCACAACCAGCTAACAATAAAAGCTTGAAAAATATATTTAGGGGAAAAAACCCCACTCCACTGACTTTCACTTTGATTGTTTTCTCAAGTAACCTAGGGTGATTTTGCAGTTTCCACACTGCGTTCTTATTAAGCAGCAAAAGATTTAATGAAAAAAATCTTAACAGTGCACGATACTTATACACTGATTGTCATCAGTGCAGAACTTAAAATATGTACGGTCCATAGCTATTTCCAGATTTAGAAGTTTTAATATGGAAATATCAAAAGGCCAAATACTTAACTTCCAATTACATCTGTTGGTCTAGCAAGAGATTCCCTTTGCTTGTCCTGTCCAAATCCTGGGGCTGACAGTACTACTGCCACCATCAATTTGAGAGCGTGTACCCCTACCATAGTTTCAAGTCAAATATAAAACTATAGCCAATATATACTTCTCCACCAAGGATGACTTTCCCCTAATAACAGGAATTACAGAAAGATAACTGATTCCCTTTGAACACACTAAGACTTTATTAAGTATTAATTTATTGCTTATTGTGTGGTCTACAACATAAAACAGCTTTTAGGAACACAGTTGCCACTATTTTAGACTGACCCTTCCAGATAAAGGATTTGACTACTCATACGTGGCATTGGTGAGGGGTTTCTACCAATTTCAATGGAAGTTCTCAAAAAGAGGCTGATGGAGGAAAAAATAAATTGGAAATACTGTGTAACTTTTAATTTTTTTTTCCCCTTACAAACCTGTTCTACGTCTTAGCTGCACAGATCAAATCCATGATTCATGGCAAGTATTTCCATAATTTAAAATTTCCTTCTCTAATCTGCATGCCTATTTTATTTCAGGCTGCTATTTTGCCTTCCATAGCTATTTGATACTTACAATGGTACTTGATCTCAATTTCTTTTGCAAATAAGTGTATTTGATTTATTAAAATCTCCCTCTTTGTCTAGAACAGCTGTTCTTTTCAGTGTACCATCTCTAAACTGATATCCTTAAATGCTCTACATGTGAAGAGGAATGATAAAGACTTTGTATCTGAAGCTACAGTTTGCCACACAGTTGTGCACAGCAAGGCTCCATGATACATTGTACAAGTTACAACATAGATGAATACTAAATAAGATCACATCACCTTGTTTTGTTTTCCATTTTCCTAAATGGGCTTCATCTAATTCTGTTGTGTGGCGAGTTTGATAGCTTTCATGGAGAGCTCACAGAGTTCTAGGTCTACTGAGCTGTTAGGAATTTGTCAATCACATGTTCCCTAGTCTTCCATTTGTCGTGACAATGCACCACGTATCTGAGACATGAGTTGATTTGCTCCTAAGTGATATAGGTGCATTCTGCCCTTTTTTTTTTTTTTCAGGATACAGAATCACAGATTGGTAGGGGTTGGAAGGGACCTCTGGAGATCAGCTAGTCCAACTCCCCTACCAGAGCAGGATCATCTAGAGCAGGTTGCACAGGATTACGATTCTGCAGAACAAGATCAGAATTAAGGACACAGTACTGGAAGGAATACTATGTTAAATCACAGAGTGGTTGAGGTTGGAAGGGACCTCTGGAGGTCATCTGGACCAATCCCTCTGCTCAAGCAGGGCCACCTAGAGCTGGTTGCCCAGGACCGTGTCCAGATGGTTGCTTATGAATATCTCCAGGGGCAGAGACTCTATAACCTCTCAGGGCAACCTGTGCCAATACTCAGTCACCCTCACAGTAAAAAAATGTTTCCTGATGTTCTCTGAGGCCATTCACTCTAGTCCTGTCACGGGCACCACTAAAATGAGCCTGGCTCCATCCTCTCTGCATGCTCCCTTCAGGTATTTATAGACATTGGTAAGATCCCCTCTCCCCCAGCCTTCTCTTCTTTAACAGTCCCAGCTCTCTCAGCCTTTCCTCATCTAAGAAATGCTCATAAAAAGAAACCAATACATTAAGGCTTCCTCCATACACAAACAACTATGTACCAACTACAGCGATTTGTTGAAAAGCTAGGTCAAACTATCCACACTTTTCATCCCAATTCCGTTCCCATGATCCCCAATTTCCTGAAGTCTTATACAATGTTTTCATTCCATGTGTAGCTTGACAGTATCATGTTTGTATCGCAGCATTCAGCCTAACCTGTTTAAAGCATGAACAACTGCCCTGTGAAGGCCTGCCCAAGCCACATTCTCCTCACAGATGACAATACTCTCCCATGGAAGGTATTAAGGCTGCTGAATGTTCATCTCACATTCTTTTTGCTACACCAACCTGGGACATTTTATTATTCTTTTTCAATGATCTAATCATTTTTCTTGACAGAATTATTAAAGAGAGAAAGAAACATAACTATTGTAAATAAAGTATCTCTGAAACCAGGCCTTCACTAGCTGTAAGAAATACAATAGATTTGGAGCAGCTCTCTTTACTACTGGCAAATGTTCATCTCACATTCTTTTTGCTACACCAACCTGGGACATTTTATTATTCTTTTTCAATGATCTAATCATTTTTCTTGACAGAATTATTAAAGAGAGAAAGAAACATAACTATTGTAAATAAAGTATCTCTGAAACCAGGCCTTCACTAGCTGTAAGAAATACAATAGATTTGGAGCAGCTCTCTTTACTACTGGCAAACAATCTACCTA